TGGTTTCTCATGTAAACTGCAATCAATCAATCAGAATAGAGCTGGAAGGGACCTTGGAGGTCTTCTAGTCCAACCCTCTGCTGAAGCAGGAGATCCTATACCATTTCAGACAAGTGGCTGTCTAGTCTCTTCTTAAAAATTTCCAGTGATGAAGCACCCACAACTTCTAAAGGCAAGCTGTTCCACTGGTTAATTGTTCCCTCTGTTAGGAAGTTTCTCCTTAATTCCAAGTTGCTTTTCTCCTTAATTACTTTCCATCCATTATTTCTTGTCCTGCATTCTGGTGCTTTGGAAAATAAGTGGACGTTCTCATCTTTGTGGCAGCCCCTCAAGTATTGGAATACTGCTATCATGTCACCCCAATCCTTCTTTTCTCTAGACTGGCCATACCCAATTCCTGCAACTGTTCCTTCATATGTTTTAGTCGACTTTCCTCTTTTTTTTTTTTTTTTTGCAACTTTCCTCCCTTTTTGGGTAAGAAAACTGTCTCCTGAATTTAGAGTCAGTCCTCCCCTCAGCTGCAAGAGGCCGCCGCGTTTCCTTCAACATTGTATTAGCCACAGAGAGAGAGGGGAGAGAGAAAAAACGGGGCGGGAAACGACAGGAAAGCCTTTTTTTTTTCCTCATGGCATTCCCTCTCTTTCTGTCCCTTCGCCCCGGGGCCTTCTTGTCCCGCTCTCCTGGCCTCTCGCCCTTTTATGGGTCTTTGCAAAATGTGTCCCAAGTACAATAATTTGAGCCTGGTCATTTGGGTCTCAGAGAAGAATTCTGGTTGACTTGTTCTGTGGTTTGCTTTCTTGGCTGTCTATATATCCTGCAGCCCTCAACTCCGCTCTGCCTTTGCAAAACCCGCCCCTCACCGGACTTACATCTTCCGTTTTCATATCCAAGATCTTCTCCACCTCGTAGACGTTCTCCTCCTCCTCTTCCTCACTCTCGCCGCCGCCGCCGCCGCCACCGCCTCCACCGGCACCCGCTGCCACGGTCGCCGTCCCCGGCTGCATTCCGCTTTCTCCCGTCCGGCCATCCGCCGGCGGTTTCGCCGCCATCGCCTCCTTCTCTTCTTCGGCCCCACTCACGGCCGCCGCCATGTTGGAGGCCGAACCTTGAACGACAACATCTCGCTTCCCCGCCCCGCGTGTGGAGGCAGCCGAAGGCCCTGATAGGTTGCTGAGAGAGCGGCGCTGGCCTTCGCTACAAATCGGCCAGCGGAACAGCCGCCAATCAGAGCAAAGGGTCGGAAAAGTGCACTCACGCGTAAAGGCAGAAAACAGCCAATCAGAAAACGCGATGGGAAAAGAGGCGGGGCGGAGTAAGCCACCTTGGAGTTTTGCAGGTAACGCGCCTGGGCGCTTTCAGCAGCTTTTTTTTTTTTTTTTTTTAAATCCCGATCTAGTTTTTTACACTCTGTGATTTTAATAACCGAGTAGCGAGTTTGGATTTTTTTCCAGATCTGCTGTAACACGCAAGAACGGCATGTCTTGAATTTTTGGTAGCTGAGGGCTTTAGGGTGCATCCCCCCCCCAGCTTAAACTAATTTCCCACCTATACAGGTAGTCCTCGTTTTACAGCAGTTCGTTTAGTGACCGTTCATGGTTAAAACGGCACTGAAAAAGTTAACTTATGACCGTTTTTCACACGACCTTTGCACCATCCCCATGATCATGTGATCAAAATTCAGATGCTTGGCAACTGCTTCATATTTATGACTATTGCAGTGTCCCAATCACCTTTTGCCACCTGACCAACAAGGTCAATGGGGAAGCCACATTCACTTAACACCTGGGTTGCTAACTAATCAACTGGAGTGATTCACTTAACAACTGTAGCGAGAAAGGTAAAATGGGGCAACTTAACAAATGAAAATTTTCATTGTAAGTCGAGGACTACCTGTCCATCTGCATCTGAATGAGGAACAAGCTGAAATTAGCTGCAGGAAGTTGGCAAGCTGGAGCAGAATGCCATTTTCTGATCAGGGATATTGACTAACCCCGCTCTAAAATAACATACTGTTATTGCTTATAAAAAAATATGTTTTCATTTCCAAATTCATGTGGCTTGGGGCTGGGTAATTTGAGGGATTGTTCACCTCTCCCAATCCAATTTACCTGTCTCATCAGGTATGGCAGGAAGGGCACACTGCAGAGTCCATTCACAAAGGAGTCATCTGGTCCCAGGGAGGAGATCCTTTTCTGCCACGGGTGCCAAATCTTTGGGATTTTATCCCCTAACTTTGAAAACATGGCTTTGCCATCTGGATGAGGATCCTGTCATGTGGGTATAGCCTGCCAAGTGGTTGCATTGCTAGGGAAACTTGAGTGTGCTCTCTCACAGACTTTTTAAAATGTTTTTAATGATTATGTTTTTTGGTTATTTTGTTGTATTGTTTTAGTTTATAAAAAAACTAAATAAAAAAACTTTGTATATACTCAAAGTGTTGTCTAGATAGTGTTTTTAGAATACATGATATTATTTATACAAGTATATTCTTTTTTTTTGAACAAATTTTATTAATTTTTTTTAAAACACATAGACAAGCAAACAAAACAAGGATGTAGTAACATAAAATATCTTTTTCTAAAAAACACATAGAATATCTTATTTAAAGAGCGAGATAATTCCAACTTATCACATTTCTATACCAACACAATTTAATATATATATTTATCTTATCTGTTCAACTTCATATCCTTTCCCAACTTCTCTTTACTGCTCCCTTCTGTTTGATTGTATTTCTTTTACCTTAAATTATGTATATTCATTATATATAATTTCATTAGTTCTCTTCCAACATCCTTTCAAACATAAACAAACATTACACAAAACATAAATACATAAAACTTCTTTTTGGGAAGTGGCTTACCCCGGGTTAGATCTTTTTGTACAGACGTAAATCAAATTCGTGCTCACATAATATACTATTTCATATCTTAATTAACGTTCTATATTTTCTATATATTTTCTCTCTTCTATTCATTCTTTTAATTCTATTTTATTTATTTCATCTCAATTTAAATAATTATACTTGCATCTTTTGTCCGTTCTCTTTCAATCATCTATTTTTCCTTCCTTTCTAATACAATATTTTCCCTGTAACCACTGGTTGAAGTATGACAACTTTTTATCTTTCCCCTAAATTTTACACTTAAAATAATACATACTTTCCATACTGATTCTGCTTCGTACATTCTAAGTACTACATTTCAAAATAATAAGACAAGCAAATAATATTAAATTTAGTAAGTAATAGTAAAACCAAAAAAAGGGGATATTGAGTTTATAATATAATAAAAGCAATATTTCATAGTAAATTAAACTCTGTTATCAAATCTTAAAACATTTTCAAGCTTCTCTTTAATGCATTATTAATTCATGTAATATTTTAATTTTCTAATTCAATTTCAAATACTAATATCTACCATACAATCTTATGTACTTTTGCAGAATCATTTTTATAAAATTATATCTTACCCCTTATCTCTAAAAAAACCTTGTTTTTTGACATCTTGTTTAAAGCTTTTATGACTTCTCTTTCCTTTTTCCCTTCCTTTCTTATCAATTCTGGCTTTTTGACCACCCCCCCATCTCTCAAGTTTCACTCTCTTAATCTTCCCTCTCTGTTGTATTTCTCTTTTCTGTTGCTTTCTGACATCGTATCGATTTTTCATCTTAATTTTCTTTTTCTTGGTTGCTTTTTTAAGTCCTGAATTCACCATTTCTTCACCCCCCTTACGCTTTTCTTCCTCCACTAAAAGTATCTGTCCATTAAAGATGGCTTCTTCTTCTTCTTCTTGGTCCCAGTCTTCCTGTCGCTGTTGTATTTCATGATAGGTAGAAATCGCCATTTCTAAAAAGTGGAAAATAGATCCAGAAGAGCCCATGCCTTCCTGTTCCTCTTCTTTCAATTTTTGAAATTCTATTTGTAAATCTTCAAAAGATAATGCCATTTTTTCCCTTTTTTTAAAACAACCCAAATATCTTTAATCTTTCAAGAAGTAGTTCACAAAGATCCCAAATTCACAAATCAAACCAAATCAAAACAAACAGTTCCATTTAGCACTTTCTTCTTTCTATATTTTCTCTTCCTAGGGTAGAATTCAAATACACAGTTCCAAAGTAATCTTCTAGAAGTCGTAATATCTTTTATTTTTGATCTTATAAGCTCAAAGCAGTCTCCTTCAATACAGTCTTAAAATAAATCTTTACCTCTTCCCTTCCACTTATAACAAATAAAAAGAATTTTAAGTTTTTAATTCCAGAAATCCTTTATCCCCTTGGCTTAAAATTTCAAGTTTACCTTCTATGCCCAAGCAGGTTTTTCAGATTTCCAACTACTGTTTCTGTGGGAAGGGAGAATAAAAGAAAGTAACTTTCCCTTTCAGTTTTTTTTTTTTCGGGGCTTTTACGATGTTCCTTGGGAGACAATGTATCCTTTGAATGTTTCAGTTTTCAGGGTATTTAGAGGTTTCTTGTAGTCCCGGTTCAGCCAAAACTTTCACCTTCACCTGCTTCCTCCAGCACAAATCTTACCCGGCTGCAGGCTTCTTTGTGGCGGCCATTGCTGACCGCCGCTCCACCGCCTTGGGAAAAAGGGGTTTTGCCGGCTGAGGAGGGGGTTTGCGATACCCCCAAACCCAAATCCGGATCCCCTCTCTCTTCGGCTGCCTCTATGGGGCAGCCCTATCCTCCGGATCTGTTCGGATTGGAGGAACCTCGGCGGCGAGCGCAGCAGGAATTGCGGAGGATCGCGAATTCCTGCCGCCGCCGAAGCCTTGCAAAACCGGAAGCCATTATTTATACAAGTATATTCTTGACTGCTTGTATAAAACCAGACATATCATTGGAATTCAAAATCAAAAGATGATGTCTGATTTACTTTGGCCATGTCATGCATGCAAGTTCATTGGAAAAGTCAATGGACACATAATGAAATATATAAAGATAACAAAAAGTGCTAAGTTGAATATCAGCATAATTATTATCTTAAATAAGGAAATCAGTGATAGTGTGCTTTTATTGTGAGTCATGTTCATTAGTAAGACAAGAACAAACTTAGTAGTGTTCAATTATTAAGAGAAGAAGAAGCATGAAGTATGTTGTGTTCATTAGTTAAATACCCAGGAGCTTTTTAGTGGCATCATCCCAGTGTTTTCCAAGCTGAAGACGCTGGCAAATACCTGCAAATTCACGGTCGGTTCTGTTTGCCCACTCAGTTGCTTTCCTTACTGGATTAAGTACCCTGTAAACAGTGGTGAAAAAGAAAAACAGATAAGAACATTCATTGCAAAACAGCAACAGCAAAACAGATTACTGTATACTGATTCAATTACTTCAATCTGGAATACAGGTAGTCCTCAATTTATGACCATAATTGAGCCTTAAATGTCCATTGTTAAGCAAGGCAGTTGTCAAGTGAATTTTGCCCCATTTTACAACCTTTTGTAACAACCACAGTCGTTAAGTTAAATAACACGGTTGTTAAATTAATTTGGCTTCCCTACTGACTGCTTGTCAGAAGGTTACAAAAACAATCATATGACTCTGGGGCATTGCAACTATCATAAATACATGCCAGTTGCCAAGCATCCGAATTTTGATCACATGACCACGAGGAAGCTGCAATAGTCATAAATGTGAAAAATGGCCATCAGTCACTTTTTTTTGGTGCCATTGCAACTTCAATCACTAAACGAATGGTTGTAAGTCGAGGACTATCTGTAATGAAAAACATGATGTACACATTGTATTAAAAATTATTCTGAGACTTATACATCTCCAAACAGGATTCACATTTAAATCAAAGTTTAGAAATGCCCAATATAGTCGATACAGAACATTTCGGGATCTAATTTCAATGCTTTTAACAATTGAAGGATTGATTGACTGAGAACTAGTTTATCTGAAAAACCACTTTCTACCTATCAGCTCATATAGGAAAAGCTAAATTTTGCAGGCTAATAGGCACCCCTGGATTTTAGGAATTGGCTGTTATTGGATGGGGGGGGCAGGCGGGAGGGGGATTCTACCAGTTCCGATTGGTTCTATAGAAACAATTGTTATGATTCTGCATAGTTCGGAGAACTGGCAAATCATGCCCCTGGCTGGCCCCGCCCCTCTACTCCCCACATGAGTCAGTCCTTGTCGTTCATGCACAACATCATGCGCACGCCCAACATCACTGACTGGGTTCTTCCCTGCCCAGTCACTCCTTAAGGGATTTCTTTTCTCCTTCCCAACCATAAGCTGTTACTATTGATCAGTTGTGCCGGGATTCCCCTCCTTAGTGCTTCGCCCAGGAGCCTTCCCTGAGGCCCAGGAAGGCAAAACATGGGGGGGGGGGGGGCACAGCACACACACACACACATACTCCATTTGGTTTCTATCTGAGCACCAGGGGAGCCTTCTGGGAGCAAAAGACCCCCCCAGGAGGCTTCCCCAAGGCCCAGAAGACCCCAAAATGGAGGAGGGTGTTGCACGCCCACCGCCTCTGTTTTTTTCCTTTCCTAAACCCCAGGGAAGCTTTATGGGAGCAAAAACGCCCCACAGAAGGCCCCAAAATAAACGGTGTGTGTGTGTGTGCTGCGCGCCCCCTCCAGGCTCCATTTTTTTTCTTTTTGAGTCCCAGGGGAGCTTTCTGGGGGTAAAAATGCCCCCCAGGAGGCTTCCCTGAGGCCCAGAAGGCCCAAAAACCCGGGGTGGTGGTGGAGGGGGATGCTGCAAAAAAAACCTAAGCCACACCCACCCAGTCACATGGCCATTCCCACCTAGCCACACCCACAGAACCGGTTGTTAAAAAATTTGAATCCCACCCCTGGTAAGGCATCTGTTCACAGACTAGCGACCACACTCACCATAATCAGTCACATAACATGCTTTTACCAGAAAGGTAACTGATACAGTTGCTTCATTCTGGCCCACATGAATGCCATCTACTACCCCAGCTGATCTTTGTCTTTTTCGTGAAAGATAAACACACTTGCAAACAAAGATTTAGGCTGCAGTAACCAACTGTTGATTATTTTTTAAATGCCTACTAGCCATCAAAGAAGTTGTGAGATTTTTTCAGACAAATAAATGCTGCCACAGATTAGGCTTTTCATATGTACGCTGCCAGCTACCCACAATAATAATAATAATAATAATAATAATAATAATAATAATAATAATAATAATAATAATAATAATAATAATAATAATAATAATAAATAATAAATAATAATAATAATAATATAATGGGGCAGAGAACTTGGTCCCAAAACAGGACTTTCTTAAAATCCCTCAGTTTTTAATTTTAGAGGACATTATGAATTTAGTTGTCATTTCTATATTGCTTTTGAATGGATATATTTTTCTTACAGGAGCTACAGATGAATGGTATAACACTTTAAACGTCATATGTTTCTAAAATAGCCTGAATGTTATTTTGTGTTTTGTTCTCAAGTATACCATGATGGAGGAGAATCTCCCAATTTCATTAGAGATTTGAAGATAAGACCTTCCAGTTGTTTGAAATATATAGCCTGGAGCACTAGAAGGGTAGCAATCAGCTGTAACAGTTTCTCTTTTCCTTTTGTACCTAGAGTGGGGGGAAAATGAAATAATGAAGTTTTGTGGGTTTCATTTTAAACAGCTAATTCTTGGTCATGCTTGTTAGCATAGCCTTATATGAATCTTGAATATCCAAAATTTTTGATTATATACATCCCTCAATCCCTGTAGATATAAAAAGGAAAAGATACCCTCAGATAAAGCTCTGGATAACTACATGGACATCCCTACAATTTTCTTAGCAACCATACAAAAGCAGTTTGCCACAGTCAGCTTTTAATGCTGATGGCGTCCCACTGAAATACCACCTCTGTACTAAGATCAAATCAAGTGTGCCCTCATCTTGTTGACGTTATTTTAAGAAGAGGTGAAAATACCTCAATAAGCCAGAAATTTAAATCATGAAAAAAAAAATTCAATGTGTTGATCATCACTTTAGAAGACATGAATTTTAAGTACACAGCTTCAATGCAGGATTTGCAAGAATCTATATAAATAAAACAATGGTAATGCATTTTTTGTGTTCGGATAACTTTTATAATTCTTAGTGTATTGACATTCAGTTATTACTCCATATCCTCTAAAAAGATGTAACACTGACAACTATTAATCTGGCCTGGAATAAAGTTTTTTTTTAAATTAAAGATTTATCATAAAAATAGATGTGGGTTTTTTCCCCCCCAGCAAACTAAATTCATTACCTAGCGTTATTGTTTTTAGTTATTCAGTGGCTAAGTCATGTCTGACTCTTCGTGACCTCATGGACCACAGAATGCCATGCCCCCAGTCCTCCCTTGTCTCCTGGAGTTTGTTCTAACTCATGCGCATTATTTCGATGACACTATCTAACCATCTCGTCATCTCCTTTTGCCTTCAATCTTTCCCAGCATCAGGGTCTTTTCAAAGGAGCCGATTTTAAGTATTATGGTTTCAACCCAAAGCAAATAAACTGTCCATTACAAACAGTGGACCATAGCTAACTTTTCACATGAGGAAGAAGTATTAATTGAAATCAAATTTGACAAGTAATCCTCTCTTCTCAAAGAATCTGAATAGCCTATTTTTCCTGGATATATTGGAAAGTATATGGTTAAAATGATTGCAAATGTCCTTACCAAGCGACTGAATTCCATTTTTTGCAAGTGAAACATTAATTAAATGATGCACATCAAGATCTAAAAGCATCCCAAGCTCAGAGGTAAGTTGCCAAAATCCATCCTATAAAATAAAATACCAACATTTGAAAGAATTGTACTTATTGTTTTATAAAACAAAGTTACAATATTTTTGTCCTTTCATTTTTGTGATACAATCTTATAACTAAATAAGGAAACTTTATCCAAATGGATATTATACAAAACAAGGCATCTTTCGCCACTGAGCACCATTTAAATCATAATAATATGGGAGACATTCCAAATTCATTCCTTTCTGTGATTTCTGCTTCAATAACACATCACTTAGATAATTTTAAAATCTGCAATAATGATAATAAGAAATCCCCTTATCACTAGGCAAGAAAAATGGGAAATAATCCAGTAATTCAATGTTCCTAGAGAAAAGAAATGGAATTTCACATGCATATGCATACATGGAGAAAGTATAAAAACAACCAAATAAAAATTTTAAAACTTCTCATGTCCCCACTTTTTTATAATTACAATTTGACAAAGTAGGTTACACTTGGAAATTGAACCAAATGTAAACTGATATATGCTTATTTAAAACTGAATCATATTTTTTTCATCAAATACAAATACAGTAGTACCTGATTTTGAAGCTTGAAGAGCTGAGGCCAGTCAACAGAACTTAAGGGTGCCCTCAATGATCTGGGGACTCTATCCTGCAAATTCATGGGAAGGTGGACAATCAAAGTACGCAACAACAGATTTTGAAGGAAGAGGATTAAAAATATTGAACATAAACAATTTTGCAGAATAATCTACAAGTGGTCATTTCATACCACTAAAGTATAAGTGGGAAGGCAGGAAAAGGAGCAATCCGCAGCATTCTTGTCAAAAATTAAACCTGTTGGATGTGGCAGAGGAAAGATTGCTACTAGTTACAATTCTTGTGTTCTCTAAGAATTTTATAAATTCTTATTTATAAATGAGCACTGCCAACCTTGCAGTTCAAAAGCATGTAAAAATGCAAGTAGAAAAATAGGGACCACTTTGGTGGGAAGGTAACAGCGTTCCATGCACCTTCGGCATTTAGTCATTCGGGTCACATGACCATGGAAACGTATTTAGACAGCGCTGGCTCTTTGGCTTTGTAATGGAAATGAGACCTACCCCCTAGAGCCGGAAGCGACTAGCACGTATGTGTGAGGGGAAACTTTACCTTTATTCCTCAAACATAATTAAATTATAAGATCAGTGCTATTTTCAGTATGGATTTCATGATTCACCTTTAATCAAGAACAAATTTATTTTGTTGTCAACTGATAATATACTATGAAAAAAAAAGCATGAATCACTTTGGGAAATAAAATTAGAAAGGGTGAGTGAAAAGTAATGCCTCCAATGTTATAAGCCCCCAGATGGTAGTACTAATAGTAATAGCACTTAGACTTATGTACTGGTTCACAGTGTTTTACAGCCCTCCCTAAACGGTATACAGAGTCAGCATGTTGCCCCCATGGGTCTCCATGGGTAAAATGGGTCCTCATTTTACCGAACTCGGAAGGATGGATGTACTAGAAACCCTGATATTCTTTAGTGTCTGTTCTTTCACTTCATTTGGTGGAAGGTGGTTGCGATAACAGACTCTGCTGTTATTGTTTCTGACATGGAAGCTTATATGGAAGCTTCCATAGCATCATAATACTTGGCAAACCACAGGCTTATCTTATGATCAATAAATTAAATGTCAGTACATGGAACACCATCACAAAATTTTATCGGAAAACCCAGTGCTCAAAGCACAGGCTTTAGTAGGAAAACTCATGGTTGCAGTTTGGGAGGACCCAGATGATGTTATTCACATACATTTTCTTGAACCTGGCACCATTATCAATTCAGTGTGTTACACTGCCACATTGAAAACCTTGAAAGAATAATTAAGGAATGTCTTACCCATCCATCATACATTCCAAACCTGGTGCATCGATTTAAACCTTTTGCCAAAATTGAAGGGATTTTTGGGCAACTGTTTGACTAGTAGAAAGGACTGTCAGGAATTGGATGAGGATATAAAGTATGGGATTCTTGGCATTAAGAAGCTTGTCCATCATTGACAAATGTGTGCAGTAAATGGTGGTAATTATGTGGAGATATAAATACAGTAGCAATAGAGTTCATTTCAAGGGCTCCTGTTTCATTTATTAAAATATCCCTATTTAAACTAAAGTTAAGGAGATGGATACATTACTTTTCATTCAGCCCTCATATAAACAAAGCATATAAGGACATCCATATTAGAAATATCTGTATTAAATATGTATTACAATTTACCTGGCATGAATTCTCTTCTGAAGATTTAGCTGCATAATGAGTTGTGTTTAATTTCATTTCAGAAGCAGTTGCCTTTCTTTTATAAAAGGCAATCTGCTTCTCTTTTTTTGAAGGTTTTAATATTTCTTCTTCTGAATGAAATGCAAGTAGATTCTTAGGAACACCTTTCTTTTTTGCGTGTGGAACAGTTTTACAAACAAGGGGTCTGGGAGGTGGTTTCAAAGCAATTTCTTCCCTGACTGACTCGCACAAGACTCCAGACAATTCCTGAAAATCAAAACCAAGTTTGTAAAAACACTGGCACTTTGATTGAAATATAAGTTGATTATGTTTGATGGCCCTGTGAGTTTTATCTGAGCACTGACCTGAACTGGAATAGCAGAGTCTGAAGTAGCATCTTCGTGGGCAGGCATGTTGCAGAAGTGAAGTATCTGTGGAATTAAAAAAACCAACACTTTAGAAGTTCTGTTCTTCTGTTTTTGTCTTCATCATCATAGCCTTTGGCCAACTCTTGAATATTTAAGACTTTTTCTGAATGAAGCTGCAGCTTGTCAAAAGTCCTGTGAATTTCTATTTTACAATCCCAAATTGCTGTCTCAAACCAGGAAATACATAATCTCCTCCTCTATCAATCTAAATTATAGAAAAAAATAATATCTTAACAGATTTGCCTGAAGATAATGGTTGATTACAATTTGGTGTATGACAAAAGATTGGTAGAAAATAGAATATTCATTGACAATTTTTAAAATTAACTACTGACCTCACGTGGTGCCAAGTTAAGACGCTCAGGTATAAAGTCATGCTCCAACTGTTAAATAAATGTTTGTTAGATTTAGATTAGATTCATAAATTCTAAAATATTGTTCAGAACAGCAGATAAGTGATAGGAGACTTCTTTTATGTGAATGGAAGAAGGATGTTAGCTTCCAACCATAAATAAAATCTTTCAGTGCTCTTTTTCTTTTCCCAATATTAAATACTTGTGGAATGACAAATTAACATATCACTCACACAATAAACTCTTTTATACTGTTTAAAAGCTCCTGTAATACTTTATGGTTTCTGCATCTATTTTTTGGGAAAAACAATATCTTCCAGCATAAAATATTTCACTTTTGCTTAAATGATATTGACTGTTGTATTTCAAGATTGAAAAATTTCCTTTTCTGGCTGATAAGTTAGAAAAATCTTTCTAACCTATGAACAGTTTGGCATTGGAACCAGTTATTGAGGAAAATGAACTTTCCTTCTCCAGTTATGTTCAAAAAACAGGCTATATAAAGATTTGTCAGGGATGCTTTAATTTGAATTCCTGCAATAATGAACGGTATAATTTAGCCCAAATAGCTCCTTCCAAATTTATGATCCTTTATTTCTCTACAACTAATAAAAGAGATGAAAAGTATGCTAGGAAAATTTAGAACACTATGATATCGTACCATCCTTCTGAATTGTATTACTAGGAATCTGTCCCTATGCAAGCATAGCAATACAGCTTTTCCCCACACCAGGGTCACTGGGAGTTTTACAACACAAAGAATACTCTGCATCAATTGCTGGAGAACTTCATCTCCTTTTTGTGCATCTACAGTAATTAGACATTGATATATCACAAAAGTATATGTAGTTCAGGCAAATCAATTTAGTTTCCACTCCTCTGCCACACAGCCAAAGGAACACATCATGACCATTCTGATCTTACTCTGGATGGGTTTGGTTTCAACTCCAAACATTTCTATACAATCTCTGTATCTTCTGAGGAAAAAAATGTGAAAGAAA